ATGCCTGTCAATTATATCTCAATAGGGGCTGGGGATTTAGCTCAGCGGCAAAGCGCCTGCCTGGCAAGCACAAGGTCGTGAGTTCGGTTCCCGGTATCGGAGAAAAACCAAAACCAAAACCAAAACAAACAAAAAAAAATTATATCTCAATAGAGCTGTTAAGTCTGGAAGAAGCAAAAGCTATATAACACTTCATTTACAATGTTTCAGTATTGTATCTTACTTAGAAATTATATAGGTTTTTATAGAATATTCAGTAATTGATTAAATTTAGCATCAGTCCAAGATTTTAGGGTACCTAAAAAAATGTCAGGAACTATCTTGAAGGTGATACACTCCAAAACAAAATCAGAGTTGAAATCAAAGGCCAGAATAACATCTCCCTTTCATTAAATGGAAATTTACATTTTTCATAACCTTATATCCAAGGAGAATAAAACCATGTATTTGTATTATACTTACTGCTGAACTAAAACAAACAAAAACCCAGCTATTTTTATTAAGCTAACCACATTAAACTGGTCTTGGACCAAATAAAGAAACAACAGGACACAGAGTACAGCACATTACCAAGTAAACTAACAATATATACAATTCCAAAAGGATACCTGGACCTTTCTCTGTGGGGTAGTATGGCCAGAAAACTGAGCAGGGCTTGAAGTCAGCTACGTGGAGAAAGGGCCAACTCAGAAAACAGGCTGAAAAGATGAGGGTATTCCAGACAGGTACACATGTTTGAACCGAGGGAATGGAAGACTTGTACGTCCTACAAAGGGATTTGAATGGGAGATGGCTGAGGGTATCTGTGCATCTACTAATGGCAGAAATGGTCTCTGAGTGGGAAATGTTGCATCTTAAGCCTTGTAAGAAGTTAAACTGATGTTAAGTTCTCTTACTGTCCCACTTCTCAGAACGTTTCACATAAAACTCACCTGAAATAGCAGCTTCAGAAAGCACTTTAAGGACCTCATTTTCCATTTCACTACTGTTACACAGCTCCTCCCAAGTCCCTTTAAGTCCTTTCTTTCGAGCTAGTTCTGTTAGTTCCTTTTGATTTGGCACAACAAATCCAATGACGTAAGAATGGTAACTACAATAAATGAAAAATAACTTAGCCAAGGAACAGAATATTACATTGCTTTAAAAAGTCACTGACTATTCCGACATTTAGTAAGGAACTGCTGGGCTGGAGATACAGCTCAGTGGCACAAGCGCCTGCCCTGCAAGTGCAAGCTCTTGAGTTCGATTCCTGATATCAAAAGAAAAAAGAAGAATAAGTAAGGAACTACTATTTTTTTAACAATTCATGTATACTTGGTCCTGAAATACTTATTTCATGCAACACCCAGCTTTACTGTATGATTCATAATACAATCTAGAGCTTTGGCAGAATTCCGTGGTGCTAAAATAAACTTCAATCTGACCATGACAAATTTCAAGTATGTGTAACTATTGTGAATACACCAGGTATATATATACTTTTAAAAGAAAATTACAAATATTTAGCCACTGAAAAAAAAATCAGTACATCACAGATAGCAACAGGTTAAGAAAAAATAAAACCTAATATAAATCAGGTAGTGTAGCCAAAGAAACTTGGTAGTAAACCAAAACAGCCTTTTCCTTTGGATGTTATGAGAATCTGTACTGACACAGGACCTCTGAGGATGCCCAGAGGCAGATGTTTTTCTGAAGACCATAAAACTTTAGCCTGAAGAAATGGCAAGAGCAATAGGAAGAGAAGGACAGTGTTAGTTATTATAAAACTAAAATCTAGATCTGTAGCATCATTAAAGGAAACACTAAATGCCTTTTTAACAAATGGTCAACTTTATTTTTAAAATGTTCCTCTCTCAAATACCACCTCAATGTGCTTATCTGCATTCCTACCTCCCCTACCTGCTCCAATTTTGTTTCTCCCACCTTTTCATAGATTTTTACACCCAGCATTAGTTCTTAACCTGAACTACACTCTTTCTATTCCTTGGTGACTTTTTTTTAAGAGCAGAATCATTTATAAATCAATGCACAGGTAATGCCTATACAAATGTTCCCAAGTCCAAAAATCTCTAAATATCTCATCCCCAAGCATGTCTGTAAGGGGTTCAACCTGAAGTTCATCTTAAACTTGGGTTATACCTTGAAGTCTAATTCTAAATTATTATTTTTTCATACTTGTTTTTATTTTCACATAGTAAGTGTCAACTGCTGAAGAAAGTCCTATGCTTACCAACAAAATAAACATCATTATCACTGGAGTATAATTAGTTAGAGCAATACTGTTATAGAAAATGTAATCAGAGTTCTAATCTGAAGTTTTAATTTCAGATTAGAAGGCACCCAAGTGGCACAGCACCATTTCCCAAAACTGGAGTTTTAGGATTTTAACTCTGAGCTCTCCTTTTCAGCTGCCTATATCATCATGGGCTGTGGTGTTATGGGTTCCAGCCACAACTTAATACAGTTTCAGGTGGGGTGCTCTCAGCTCTTCCTCCAGGGCTTAGGAGGTGAAGGTTGAAGGCAAGGCAGTAGGTACTGAACAGCAGACGGCTCACCAACACTTCTTCAGTCTGGACTGTTCTGTGAACCTACGCATAGCTAGCTAGGAAGTAAGATTTTTATTTTCAATTCTATCACAACAGACATACAGAGAGATGTAATAAAGCAGAGAAGAGACATGGAAAATGATGACGGAAAGTATCAAAGGAAAAGAATCACCTAATGTCTGTGAGGAGGAAAAGGTTGGTCCCAGGCATCACAGAAAAGGAAGCATTTTTAGAATGTTTACAAAGAGGCCCGTACAAGGTGGAAACCTTTATGGCATACTCAATGTGCAAAGTACAAGTAGCACAAACCCCACTTCTTACCTGTTTGCATATGCACAAATGTTATCTATCAGCGGGAGATTCTTCAGAGCTGCCTCTACTTTCCCAAGAGAAACATACTCTCCAGCCTGTAGTTTTACAAGGTCCTTCTTCCGATCTGAGTGAAACAAAGAAAGGCGGGGAGAAGAAAGCGTTGAGAATATTAGTAACACCCTAGTACATGTAAACACTGGCCATTTACTAAGTACCTTAAAACTTTGCTAAATTATCCATAAACTGTTATACTAATATTAAAAGTATATAATAAAATTAGGCCCTGAGTTTTACTTCAAGTATATTCTGCTCCACAGATAGTACTGTATCCATTAATACTAGGAGGTGAAGATGTGGAACACGATCAGCGAGCCCACATCTGCCGGAGAGAAGCACAACACAAAACAGGTTACTTCTCCCAATACAGTAGCAGTGCGTGGCAAGACTCTCCAACCTGGGGCTCAGGAACTGTTCCTGCAGGTGAGACCTGAGCTGAGTCTTAAGGGAACAGTAAGAGGCACCCAAGTGGCACAGCACCAGCAAAGGCCAGCTCAAGCAGGAGGGAAACACATGAAGTAAGTGAAAAAGTGCGTGATGGTCTTGTAAAAGAGGCACTTTGAACTGAGCTCCTAGCAGACATGAACCACTTAATGTTTACCCCCTACTCGGGCAGGCTGTTCGTTTGCTTTTTATCAATTTGTTTTATATCTTTTTTTGCATATTTTTAATATTTAAAATAGACAATTTGCCTTTGAGGTTTGTTTCTAGTGAAATCCATTAAGTTCTGGTTATATTCTTTTATTAATTTGTGCTTATTTTATTTGTGAAAAATAATCTATAATTTTGTGCTATAATACATAAAAACTCTTATCATAAGTACATTACATGTAATTTTTATACTCTCCAGAACTCAAGGAGTTTTTTACAATACAAAATGGACACCTTTGGGACACCAAGACTGAGTAGGAAGGAAGTGCCCACAGATCCACAAAAGAAAAAACTGAAAGCGGGTGGGATACTAGCATATCAGAGAGGAAACATCTGTGTTGTGAAATGGAAAATCAAAGTCTCATTACTGCCAACTACTGAAAGACAGAACTTAAAAGAAGAAATAGTGAGAGGTCAGTGCAGAAGACAACTGTGGCTGGAGGCTATCCACTAAAGGCCAGCCTTCAAGAAAAAGATGAACTACTCACTCAAGGGATGAACAGCTGTGCTTGATATTCTAAATAGGCATCAATCGCCTTGGGGTGGAGGACAAACCTCCTTAATCCACCCCTTCCAGGAAAGTCCTTGTCTGGTCCCTGTGTGCTTGTTTCCCCATTTGATCTCCATTTAATTAATATTACCCAAGGCACTATACCTGTTGTGTACTTATTGGTTGATCATAGTTTTGTCCCACCTCACACCCATCCTGTGATTTTCTACTGGATCAGTATTACCTAAGCAACTATACTTATAATCTTATTAATTGATTATAGTTCTGTTTCACCTTAGGCCCACCTCACCTGGTGGTTTTGCTCAATAAACACTTTTGAGAAGCGGGGTTGGGGGGCAACTAACTTTCCAGGCCCCCTTCTGTCCCTCAGACAGAAGCTTTCTTTCTCTTAATAAATTCTTCCTACTCTTAAAAAAAAAAAAAAAAAAGAGGAAATGAAACTAAAAAAATTCCAACAGTGATCAATGATTATAATAGTTCTATGTGTGATATTAACAGAATTGACCACCATCTAATAAGCTATCCTATAACCAAAAAGCAAGGAAAAAACTATTATTATAAACTATTTACACAACTTCTGGATCTATCAATATGGAACTTGTTTGGTATTTATTCAAAACAAGGGGTTCAAAAATCATTTACAACTTGGATTAGGTCTAACAGACCAAATATTTGAAAACTACGGGGGAATGAAACACCACCTAGGACGTCCATCATCAACGTCTTCATCACTACGTTCAGTGGGGAGACATTTTACTGAAATTACACCCCACAGAAAAAAAGGAAAGACAATACCATAGTGTACTGCAAAAAAAATCTGGAAAGAGACTAGGTACCACTGCCCAGATTGTAACGTTGCACTGTATAGTCAATGTTTTAAGATACATCACACACAGAAAATTATTTAATAAATCTGATAAAACTGTCATTTTAATATTTTCTATTATAGTATCTCATAAAAATTAATGAAAACTATGCAATTTTTGGTCATCCTATATTTAAATAACTGGACCGCTAAGTGATTAAAAAGTATTCAACAAGCAATCGAGCTGGCAGAATCAGGTTAGTTATCACAGTGCTGGTGAGAGGTGCCAGGGAAGCCCGGCTAACAGGATATTCTTGCAGAAGTGTTGCAGAGAGGCAGGCCTAACCTGCAAACAGTAAGAGGACAGAGAGAGAAAGAACACGACTGTAAGGCCTACCTCATAAGCTAAATCAGTGGATGTGGGATAGTAGTAGGAACTGACTGCAAGGGAAGAGGGCTGCATCTCCTCCCCAGTGTTCGCTCAGCATGATGAAATACAGATGCTATTAACTGAAAAGAGGCCTCAGGCAAAACCACACAAGGTTATAAAGTTCTTTTTTCCCCATATGGGTTGTAGTATTTGAGTTGCCAGGTTTTCCTTTGTTTCCTTGGGCAAGGCAGAGGGCTAAATTCAGATAGGAGAGCCCTGCATAATAACTTATGTCAAGCACTTCAAAAACATGACCATTCTCTCTCTGCTTGAGCAGGAAAAAAGGCAAATGTGACTTAACAGCAATTAAAACTAATACTGCTGATGAACACCTTTTGACATCTCATGTCAAACCTCATCAATTCCTTACTAAAAGTTTCTGTGTTCCAGCAAAGACAAAAGAAACCAACACCAACACTACACAAAGAATCTTTCATTATTATACAGCTTCTCTGAAGACTAGTATCTCTAGCACAAAGCTACCTGAGGATCATTTCCTTTCAAAAAAAAAAAGATTCAGTGACTGACCAATAATCTTCAAACAGCCATCAGGGTCAAACTCCCCAATATCTCCAGTACAGAGCCACCTCTGCCCGTTTTCATCTTCAAAAAAGTCAGCTTTTGTTTTTGCTTCATTTTTGTAGTATCCCATTGTCACATTTCGGCCACCAATAAGAATTTCACCCCTGGGGTGTGGTTTATCAGTATTAAAGTATCCACCTAATAAACAGAATAATTTAGAGTTAATTCATTGCTTTTGTCACTATATGTTTACAACATGAATATTCAAAACTATTACTTTATAAACAGAAATATCTTATTTAATCCAATTAAAGCTTCCAAAAAGAAACAAGGCAAACACTAGGCAGACACTAACTGACCAAAACTTATCAATATAAAACAAGGGCAAAATTGTAGTTACTTAACCATAAGTATTTATCTTTTTCAGCTATTTCATCTATTATGGAAAATTATTACAACAACTACACAGGTAATTTTTTTTAAAGTTTCTGTAGTCTTAAATATCGTGCTCATAAAATGATAAAGTATTAAATAGTATATAACAAAACCAATCTTTGTAAAATCAAATTACCATACATTTAGATCTAATTTTACAATTTCAGACTGACTTCAAGTTTAACTTTATTGCACACTTTCACAAATTATGGCTAAAAGTAGTTAAAAAATTACTTTGGAGGCTTAGAATCTTTAATTTGTATATAGGAAAAGTATACCCCAATAAATCACACATAATCTGTATAATTTATTATGTTTATATATTTTAAAAGTAATTTATATCTTATACTGCATAAGCAACAAATCTTTATGAAACTACAATAAAAATTTCCTACTGGTAATTCTAGGTTGAAACCTTCAGAGAAAAGAAATTTAAAAAAAAAAAAAAAAAAAAGACAACAGAAACATGCATAAATCCTCATAGAAAAATATGTGTGCTTTTACAAAATCAAGTTACCATTCTTAATTTACTAATGTTATTCATTTAAGCAATTTATTAAGCTTCTGCCATAATTCTTACTAGTACTTACATAGTTAAAGCAAAATAAAAATTGTATTCTTCAAAATCATTTTTGAAACACAATATAATGCATCCCTATAGTTCTAGATACAACATTTTATAAAGAACAAAATGAGCACTTATGACCAATTTTATATTCTAAAATGAAGAAAATAAAGCTTCTAAATATTTCTAATTTTAAAGTCTAATTTTCTAAAAATGCAGCTGCAGCTGAAATAGTTTCTCACCTTCTTCCCAGTTCTTTAATTTGATTTCACAGCAAACTAATGGTGCTCCAACCCTGCCAGTATTGTAGTCCCACACTAAGATGCAAAGGGGGAAAGATGTGTTTGAGAACAGTAGGTAAGAGGTTGCGTCATTTTTCTAAGTTATTAAAACGATGACTTTCCCCAAGCTTAGAAAACCGCACAGAACCCTTAAAAGCACGGTCACAGGCTGGTAAAGCAGAGGCTGCGTGCTCTGCACAAGTACACTGTTTACCTATAGAGCTTTGTTCTTTTCTCTCTTTTTCTTAATGTGAATTACTTACTACCATTTTTTTTAAACCAAGAAATGTTTAACATAAATGTGAAATCTGCAGCAAAAAGAGGCCCACATTTCAGGCACAGCAAAATCTGACAGCCCTGTGAGGTGGGGCCTGCCTGGCTCTTCACTCCCCAAGAATCCTGACCCATCGCATGTCCCAACAGCAGAGCTCAGCTCATTTGTTGAAATAGCTGCTGGTCTAACAGTTTGCACCCCATCTTAAAGAATGATGGGGCACAATGCTTTACACCTATTCCCCTTCACCAGGCCTCCAAGCCCTGAAGGACGACTTCTCCATCCACTCCCTCTATCACCACTCCGGAGTGAAACACTGTAGCTCCCTCACACCAGCTTATGCTACCACACCCCCTTGAAAATTCATACCGAATAGCTCATCAGGCTGAAGAAGAGACCAACAGAGCTTCCAAAGACAGGAAATGAATCCCCACTACTAGGAGTTACTATTGCATTATCATTCAAACATCATTCAAATGTCAGAGAAAAAGCTGGTATTTGATACTTTAAAGACTGCCAACTATAAGTTATTAACTAATCACACATTTAGTTTCTTACAAACAAGAAATTAAGGATCTGCAAAAGAAACCACGTAAGTGTGTATTTGTGATTGCTTATTTCCTACAAATAAGGTAAATAATTCCCCAAACTATACAGAGAACATAACTAAAAAGCAGGAAGATAATGAAGGAATACAAAAGAAATCTGGCCGGGGCAGGGTGGCACATGCCCAGCCTGAACTAACCAGGGAGACCCTGTCTCAAAACCCCGAAAACCAAACAAAAAATAAATTTTTAAAAGCAAATGAAATAAATCTGATCTAAGAAGAGTACGAAGAAACACTCAAGATAAACTGGAGAAAATGCTCGCTTATTGAAATGCTCATTGTCAGTGAGCATCTAGAATATACAAAGAGAGGCACAGCTTTTTCTACTAAGTACTGGGAGGCAAAGTCACTCTGCTGTGAAGGGAACGTAACAGGACATTAACCTGAGAACCTCTGACCAGCTCTGGACCCTTCTTCAACCAGGACCCAGGGTGAACTCTGGCCATTACACAGTTGGAATCTAGTTTCTTTTTACACTTACAGAACAGCCAATAAATAGTTCGGGATCTGCGCCTTAACTCAACAACAAGGGGGAAAAAAAAAAAACGATTTTTCTACATAAAAAGAAATTCAATAACTGATGTGAGAAAATAAATGTATATAATACAAGCAATGCTTGTTACTAAGGCTTCATTTCCAGAATGTCAATTGTTAATATTACGTAGCACATAGTCTAACATGAAAACTTCTTTTAGATACATCTAATACATTCTAAAAATTGATTATCAATAACCATAGCTCCTGGAGTTTACCACTATTTTGCTGCACAAAAACCCAAACTACCCTTCTCCGACATATTTTTAGAAAATAATTCCTAGCCAATACTACGTCAGAAGCTGCACCCCACGGATCCTCCAGTCTGACATTTCCTGGGTGGCACTAACCTTCCGTGATCGTTCCGGCCCCCGTGGATTCAGTGAGTCCATAGCCCTGACCCACGGGACAGCAGAAACAGATGTTCATGAACCTCTGTGTGGTCGCGGAGAGCGGAGCACCGCCACACAGTAAAAGGCGAATGTTTCCCCCTAGCAAGCTTCGCACTTTCCGGAAAACCAAGCTAAAAACATAAGTAAAAATTCAGAGAATCACGGGATTTTAAAGCTGAATGGGGTATTCTGTATCTTTCCACTAATCTCAATTTTGTCACAGAAAAATTTGTGATTAAGTGACCCACCCAAGGCTGAACTGCAAATTCACGAACTTCTCTTGACTCACTGTTTGAATTTGAAATTTCAGTAATTTTACCATGTGAACAATATGATTTTCCTCACTTTTTATTTTTGAGTGTTGAGGAGGATCCTGGGAAATCTTGTGCCTTGTGCATGCCAGGCAAGTGCTCTACCACTGAGCTACATTCCTACCCCTTTGAGTCTGGGTCTTGCTAAAAGTTGCCCAGGTGGCCCTTGAACTTGTAACCCTCCTGCTTCAGGCTCACAAGCAGCTAGGATTATAGGTAAGCGTCATAACATCTGACTGGTTTGCTTCTAAAAACTTTTAATATTTGAATTCAACACTGATTCAAAAATTAGTACTTGAATTCAACATTGCCAGACTTAGTTTTATATAATAATGGAAATCCCTTGTTTGTGGTCAAAACAATTTGTTCTGCCTTATGTAAGTGCATATATACATAGATACAAGTACTACAACTAATTGTACAGTATAGAATTATATTAATACTGAACAACCTTATATCTTTAGAAAATTCACTGAAGGCAAATTATTTTATTTAATTACTTTATTAACAGATGCATGTACTTATTTGTAGTCAACAACCTGACCTTAAAATTTACTAATTCAAATCTGAAAGTATTTATTGTTTTTATTATCTATTTAAAAAGGAAAAACTTCAAACATCTAGTTGATATATTCCTGAAAACATACTAATAAAAAATTTCTTACTATCTCAATCGGAAGGACAAAGGGAGAGGGACTGGGTCACAGCTCAGTGGTATAGCACTTCACTAGCATGAGCAGGGCCTAGTTCTATCCCAAGCACTGGAAACAAAAAACTTTAAGAAAGATGAAAAGTAAGTGGCAATCGTTTTTAAAAATTACATTAACAGACTTTCCAGAACAACGAAAGTATCTTGCTCATGATAGATAACTAAAGGCAGGAAAATAACTTAGAGAAGTTCTAGATAGTGTGCAACATCTGAAAACTATATTCAATCCCCGTAACAATAATTTGAGTGTCATGTTTTCATTGTTTAGTTTCTAAATTATTTAATAATAAAATCACAATTCTACTTACTACATTAACACTATGTAAACCCAGGATGGGGTAGACTAGTCATTTACAACTTTAAGCATAACACATTTAGTCAAGTATGTTAATTTACATTCATCTTGAAGTAAATTTAAAAACAGAGTAAGTTTCCTGCAAAAATAACTAAAATCATCTAATTCTCAGAAAATATAAGCACAACATTAAAAATTATAAAATTAGAAGTGAAAATTGTCAAATTCTTATGTAGGATAGATTTTTAACATGTCCCCACTGGCTTAACCCACCCAAGGTACATGCATGATTGTCCCAATGGGTGTCTTGTACCACTGGTGGTACAAATGGATCTCCTTTGGTCTTTTTACTAACAAAACTAATAAAAAGGCTCCCGATGGGACAGTCATACATGGGCCACCAATGGTTCAAACCACCCTGCAGCAAGCCATACAGCCCCATCGTGAATATGTTAATATGTCAACTTTTAAAAATATACTTATTCCTTGTAACTGTCTCACTTTATTGAGCTGCTAATTTTAACGAAATCGTTCACTGATCAGGAGGACAGGGGAGGAGAGGGGGTTAGCACACAGCTATTACTCACCGGTCACACAGTGGAGTACTACGGCCTTTTGAAATCTGTTCCATTTTATAATTATAGGCCAGAATAAATAAATTCCGTTGAAAACTACTCATTTCATTCACTTTATTCATGACATTTTTGTAGATCCGATCCATGATTTCCTAAAGGTATAAAAATGAGTCATTATAATTAATAACTGCCTTAAGTATTTAAATCTTAACATCCAATTAACGTTTGTGTCAATATTAACGCATTTTAAGAGATATAGCTGGTCAGGACCAAACTTTATAAATAGAACCACAATCATTGTAATTTTAAAATGGAACTGCTGCAAAAAAGTGTAATTTTAACAGCAGAAATGTATTTTGGTTCACACATGAATATATTTAGGTACATAAAGGGAAAACAGAAATGCCTATAACAGGAATATACCATTATGATTATATTGCTTTGCTTGTTTATCTTACTGATTCTGAACTAAAAACTAATTTCACAAAATAAATCAACTATTTGAAACAGTTTTATAAAATCTCCTAACTTCATCTTATGAAGAGATACAGGTACCACATACTCTGCTCATAAAAGAATCCTGGCAATTTTCGTTTTGGGTTTGGTTGTCTTTTACTGCTATACCCAAGTACATTCCTTGTCTGCATTTTGTTTTGCTTGCTAGGCCTGTTACTAGGAATTACACTTCAATGGCAAATGGTAGTTTTTCCTCTACAATTCTAAGTTACATGTATTTCTAAGTGAACTACTGATGTGAAGAAGGACACTACCTCAGAAACTGAGTTTACTTTGGAATCACTGTAATCATGGGCATGTGAGCGCTCAAGCATCCAGCAACCACTCCCGACACTTCCCCTGCTGCCCGTTACTCCCAGCTCTCCCAGCCTAGTGTTCGGACGCCAGTGCTTCTCAGGTCACTCCAAGCTGCCACAGCCTCTCGGTCACCCTTTTTGGTGTTCAGGACAGACTTTCCCTGAGAACTCAGCACGTAATTTTACAATCTGTGTAGAAGAATGTTATCGCAAACCTTCCTCTTATCTCCTGCTGGGCTTCAAGTTTCTACTCATCAGCAAATATACACTACACCCTGAAAAATGATTTTAACAGAAGCTGTTTAGGGAAAAGAGTCAGTAATATCATATGAAAGTTAAAACTCGGTTGAGTGTTAATAGAAGATAAAACAAGAATGAATAAATCCTGTAAAGCTTAAAGTGGTATAAATAATCAATATGGGATAAATCCTACAGAAATTGCCTTGTCAACTGTGGCTACTGACACTTCCTTAAGAAATGGTCACTTCAGTCTTACGTAACAGTCATTTCTTACCGGAACAGCTGCCATCAGTGTTGGTTTCAACATGGAGGTATCCCCTTTGCTTCCTTTTTTGATTTTTGAAGACTGCAAAATAGAAAAATGATCCACATAAAAACTGAGTTGTCTTGTTTTGTAGTACTGGGGATTGAAACCAGGACCTTGCACTGAGCTACATCTCCAGCCCTTATTTTTTATTTTGACATAGCATTCCAAGTTGCCCAAGCTCATCTCAAATTTGCAATCCTCCTGCCTCAGCCTCCTGAGTAGCTGTGATTACAGGCGTGTGCCACTGGGCCTATCTACTGTGATCCTTATGTTTAAAATCCAATGGAAATCTTAGATTAAAAGAGCACATTATAAATGTATCATTTAATGTACTTACATTCTAACAGTCACTCAAAAGGTAAAAGCTAATTTTTAAATAACTTATCTTTACAATATATTGTCAAACTGACAGAAAAATATAGTGTTAACAGTAATTTCTTTAGTATTTTAAGTCAGACATTTACCTGATCTGCTAAAGTCTGTGGTGAAGAGTAGCCAATGCGGCATCCATGAGAAAGACAAACGAGCTCAGCACTTAATTCTAGAACATGAGCCAGGGGCAGATATCCAATGTATACATCTTCCTCTCTAAAAGAAAACAGTGACAGGAGAAGCAAAGGTCAGGCATGCTCTCCACCAAAGTGACTGCTACCTGGAACAAGCCTGGTGACACCTGGAAGGGCTCCTCAGGACACTGATCTGGGCTCCATGGTGGTCAAGAGAGAAAAAGAGGAGACAGAGAGATGCTGGGGATAGCAGCAGAACTACAACTCAACCAGCCTAACACTGAGGTGGTGAGTATTCTGGGAAGCAGTTCTTTCAAAACACAAAAGAAATCATTTAAGGAGAATGTCTGAGTTTTCTCTCCTTGCTGAGACAAAATACCTAACAGGCAAAGTTAAAGGGGAAAGCGCTATTTAGCTCAGTCTGTAGAGGCTTCAGTCCATAGCTGGCTGGCTCCAAGGCAGGGTGGCCTGGCGGACAGGCACTGCAGAGGAGAAACGGTTCATGACTGGCGGAAGTTAGCAAAGCAACAAGGGACAAGACAAGCCTCTTTCTGTCCCTTATATTGTATCCAGACTACTGGGATTAGAGTGGTGCCAAACCAATCAGTGGGCTGATTTAATAATCACACAGCCTTAATCCTAGTATTGCACCATGATTCAACCACACACTCTAGACTCAGTCACTTTTGAAAAAGACCTATCTATGACTGCATGAAACTTAGGGGACTTAGGGGAATATCGAGACATAAGCCATAAAGAGGAGATGTGGTCTTCAGAGGAAAGGGGCCACCCATCGGAAGAGCCCATTAGAACCCGTAAGTTCTAGAACCTGCCACAAATTTTATTTAAAAGCTGCCTGTTCTGGGAGTTGGCTGAATTATAATACCTTAATATGTAAGTTATACACGTGTGCTGTTATGGTTTGTGTCTGTGTGTCCCCCCAAAGCCTCACGCGGTCATGGGGCAGGCTTTTAGAGTTTGATTGATTATGGGTGTGAGAGCTACACCCGCCCTGGGGTGGGTAGTTTGCATATGTAAGGGAGAGGAAGAGGCT